CCACAACAGCTTCTCTGCAAACCTAAAGCTGACAGTTACTGGATTGACTGAAATCTTTGAAAAGCTGGCAAGGAAAGACAAAGAGTTAGCTGAAAGGAAAACCTTATAGACCTTTATTAGTTTTACCCATCACTCCACAAGCTTTGTACTTTTGAAAGAAAACTATTCCTATTCCTTCATTGTTTGTAGAAACTTTGTAGAGTCATTTTAATTCCTTGCTAATTATAGAGCCCCAAAATGAAATGGCAAAGGTACTAAACTGAGATGGGTCCTGTCACTTTAGCAAGGAGGGATGCAAATCTAGAAATGTAATCTTAAGAGCGCTTGAACTGCAGGGCTTCATCCAGATGGAGGTGCAGGAAAGTAGACCTGCAGCTTAATGGATACACTTGAGAGGGACTAAAAGAGATGCACATTGCCATTTTCAGCAATGACAAGAACATTAAAGTCCTGTTTCTATTTTGCAAAAACCATTTTTATTTTTGCATCACCTCTACTACAAGATTAGGAAGTCTCATTGGTAAACTATGTTACTGAAAGAACACAATTTTTTTTTCTGACAGGCAGGTTTTAGAGCTCGCACCAGGTGTCACATTTTAAAGTGGCTTAAAATACACAATGCTGAAAATAAAACATAAAAAAAAAAAAGAATTTACCTGCTCTTAAAAATAATCTACTTTTAACAGGCCACTCAAAGGTGACTACTCAAAAGTGGTCCAAAACAACAAAAGATACTTAACGTACATGACAGACCATGACAATCTTGGAAACAGCATAGCAGTGCAATTTCATACAACTTTAAAGACTTCTTTGATTGCTAATCAGAGGGCAAAATGGCAGGTATTTAGTTGATTAAAACAGCTGCTTCAAACAATCCATTTCAAGTTATCACAGGCTTCTAGCAATTAGAGATGGAAAGAACCGATTAAGACATCTTGAATGCATGCTGTTGCTTCTACACAGCCAAATTACTACAGCTACCTTTTAATGAAATCTGCCTTTATCTCCTTCTCTTCCCATTTCACAGAAAATTTCAATAGAAATAGCACTTCAACATTCGATTTAATTGAGCAGCTACTGATTAGCTTCTCTGTGACAGTAGCTGCTGATTGTGACAAAGGTGCATGATATGGTAATTATAAGACTACTGTAGATGAATGTACCAAGCTGATAGTAACATTGATTATAAGGAAGCTAATTTGAGGCAAAATATGCTAGTTTCTTGAAAGTTCACAACACTCCATTGGCTAAATATTCCCAAAACTGCTGTTTTAGTTAATCCACAATGTAACTGTATATAATTAATTTCTTTAAGATACTGACACCACAATGGAAAAGTTAAAACCTCAAAAATAAAATTTCTATTTAGGAAAGTATATCACAAAGCCATTACACAATATCAGTGGCAAATAAAATTAAGGTTATCAGGGTGAATTTTCTGTATGTTTTCATACTTATTTGGGTACTCTGTGCAAAATAGCACTTTAAATAAAATTTTACTATATTAAGAACTCTAGTTATTCACTAAAATGTCTAGGCAGCTATTGCTTTAATTAGAAAATAAGAGGATTATTAAAGAACTGGTTTCCTTTAAAATAAGAAATTGGGCAATTATGAAAAAAATACTAGATACTGAAGATTGTAATAATTTACTTCCAGTAGGCAAAGAAAGGTAATAATTGTTATAATTATGCATACTTACAATTAATATTAACATTAAGGACTTTTTCAAGAAAGAGATAATTACTTACCTCATTTTCTCTGAATATATCATCCTAGGAGATTCTCATCCTCAAGCCTTTTGCAAGACAGGCGGGAACTCCCCACAAGTAGAGCCTTGGCCCTCAAGAGCAGCAGGAATAGAAGTATAAACACAACTCCCACCTATATGAACTGTGGGTTATAACTGTCTACTCAGGACTAGTTGGGAATTGGGAATTTATCATTCATCTGAGTGACTCCAGCATGTGGCAATAATCATTCAATGCCCTCCCAAGTAGTGTGTGATCAAGCAATCATTCTCCAGTTGTGAAATAGATGTCACATTTCATGGAAACATACAGCACTAGTATCTGCCCAAAAGAGAAAACACTATCCATTTTAAGCTCATGCTTGTGATACTGCTGCTCTTGAGAATCAAAACTCTGTGTGTGAAAAGATTGCCCCATGTCACACAGTGTATTTAGGGTGACCAGAACACATCCAAAGTGAAAGACTTCATCTGCTCTGACAGACACGTCCTGAAGTTCTGACAAGCTCCAGGAAGTGTTTGGCTGACTAAAAGTCCCAGAACACTTTAAAAACCCTTAGTACTTCCTAAAAAAGAGGGGCATGAAACCTTTGGTTTCGACTACTACAGAAAAGTATCTCGTACTGAATGGGCACTGCTCCACCTTTGAAACAAAGTGCCAGTGCAAAAGCTAGCTTTCTAAATGGTGGAATTTCTTCCTTCCTTGCCTTGTGAAAGAAGCCTATAGGACAGCATACAAGTCCAAGTGAAAAGGACTGATACAGACCAGGTAAGAGTTGGCAGTGGCAGCAGTAGGCCCTTGATATGAGAATGACAGTTTTCTAGTAGACAGAGAAGTCATTGTTGAATCCAGAGATGACTGAAGAGACAAATCTGAGATCTGCCTGTTTGGCTACAGACATGGCATACAATTCCAGAAGGAAAGATTGGTGAATTCAGGTCACAGCTCTTTCCCTGATGGTATCATTCCAAAGCTTTCAGGTATTTCCAATATGTTGCTCAGGTTTCACACCCATACAAAAGGGTAGAGATTACAACAACCTGGTAGACAAGAAGTTTGATTTTGGTCATGGTGTTATGATCATAGAAGATACAATTTTGGAGATATCCAAAGGCAGCACTAGCAGATTTTATTCAGAGCTGAATATCATTACCTGTGTTTACTTTTTGGGAAAAGGTGACTACCCAGGTCAGGGAAATGCTCAACATTTGCCAAGGACTGCTGTCTAATTGTAATATGTAGGGGAGAAGCTGCTTGGTTTGGGGTAGGTTAATAAAGTATCTTGGTTTTTGTGAAGTTGACAGTGCATCTAAACATTTCATTTGTTTCACAAAAGCAGTCAACGGTGACCTGGAGATCTTCAAATGAGTGGACACACACAGCACAATCATCAGTATACTGAAGATCAGTAATGGAGGTGTTGGTTATCTTGGATATGGAATGTAACTGGTTGATATTAAAGAGATTTCTGTCCATGTGATACTGCATGCTGACTCCAGATGGAAATCTATTAATGCAGTAAGATGCAAAATAGCTGTGATATAGCTGGAAAAAAAGTGTTGGTGCAATCATGCATCTTTGCCTGACTCCAGTTCTTGCCTTAGCATTTCTAATGGTGAAGGGTTCTGTTTTCAAGCCATTGCTTAGGATGGTTGCTGTCAGGTGATCATAAAGAAGTCTGGTGGTGGTAACAACATTTTGACAGATATCCAAATCTCATCAGGGTCTTCCATAGAGCCTCTCTGTTGATTGAATCAAAGGCCTCAGTCTGGTCACAAAGGCCTTATAAAGATCTCTGTGTTACACATGGCACTTCTCTTGCAGCTGTCTAGCAACAAAGATCATGTCTATAGTACCTCTGAATGGTCTGAAACCACAATGGGATTCAGGCAAGGTCTCCCTGGCAATGGGTGGATTTTACTGAGGTAGGATTCACCACCAAGGAAAAGTCATTTTCATATCAGTCACATGAAAAATACCCAAGCCAAGACAGATCTACCATATCCTCATTAAACTCAGGTTTTAAGCAGTCTTACCTTTTCCTACACTTTTACTAAGACACCCAAGTTTGCAACCAGACTGTCAAGAGTGATCCTAGCACTGACATGTATGGTTCAAGAAGAAACTAAAGGCAGAATAGATGAGGTTAGCTAAAGTAGGCTGGAATTGAAAGAGCTAAAGAACCAGGACAACAAGTCATAGAGCCATAGAGAGTTTTTACATGTGCTCTGGGCTGGGAGGGGGTGTTAATTAGAGGGGCTCCCAGAGCCCCTTGATTTAAAGCACCAGGAGTGTCTCGTGTATCAGGGTCCCAGCACTTCAAAATGGTGGCAGAGGTGCTTTATCTAAAGCTCATCAAACAAGTTTTAATTAAAATGCCCCTGCTGCCCTTTGAAGCGCAGGCATGCTGATAAAAAAGAAGTGGAGGCTGGCAGGAGTGTAGTCATTACCATGCTCCAGCAGACTCGATTAATCTACATTACAGCATGTCAAAGCACATCAGAGTAATTACAGCACATTAGAGCAGCCTCCCATAGTTCCTGCAGGAAACTCCTTTACAGTTGCAGACAAAAACAAATTGATGACTGGTAGCTTCCACCTGTGGGTTAGACAGGCAAGGAAATGCAGCTACCAATATGATGGCAATAAATGAACCTTGTGTCCCAACCCACTTGTATCTACCTTTCAAGGAGTAGAAACTTTAGATTTTGGGCAGTTTAGGGAACTTGCAGAATACAAAACCAGGACTCAATATCCTGTGCAAGTGCTATCTGGGTTAGCTTTGCATATCTTGAAATTTTTCCCCTCCTACAGCCATAATGACCCAAAAATAAATATATGTTCATCTTTCACAAAAACATTTACTAAATAGTCTATATTCCAATAATGCTGCTTAGCACTATGAAAAAGATTCCGTTTCTCTTAAATTGTACAAATAGTGCTACATTTATTTAATATTGCCTTATTATTTAAGTTGTCTTATTATTCATAGTTTGCTTCACGCAGTCAGTAAGTAATAATTCTCACCATTTAACTAAAATGTATACAGCTAAGAAAATCGTGACTTGAAAAAATAAAAATGAATAATCTAAATCAAATTAATGGTAAAACACTAACTTTTAGGAACAGAAGGAGGCTGTGAACCATTCATTTCTAGAGCAACAACATTAACGTAGATGGCATTAATCGGATGGTTACTATGTATACAACTCAGTGGCTATAAAAAAATTATTCCATGAGCAAACTCACCAACAATCTCACTTGGCTCCTTGTTGTAAAGTTTTTTGTTCCAATAAAGAAGTCTGAGAAAAGGAAAGGAGACCAGAAGAACAAGACAAATTCCAACAAACATATGTCCGGTAAATGCTGCAAAATCCAATCCCTAGGAAAGAAAAGATACAATTTTAAATTACAGATCAGTTATTTTCCTATATTAACAGCAAGGGGAAAAAATTGGCTATATGTGCTTAACTACTCAGTGATTGATACATATATACCCCCCAAAATTAGGCAATTTGCAGCTATAACAGTTTTTGTGTCTCCCCAGTTTCAAGTAAATTAAACTATCAAGATAAACGTGAACCCAAAAATATTCAATTACTCATTTTTTCACTTTTTAAATAGTTACCCATCAGAAAAACTGGCTTCAACTGCCAACTTGGCTTCTTGCCCGCAACTGGTAACAACGTAAGTATTTTTTGCATCCTAAACCAGGATTCTACAATATATTCTATTACAATGATATTATCTTATTACAACAAAAACATCATATAGCAACTGTCAGGATACGGACATGGGGCCTGGTGTCCTGAGGACATCCACTTGCCTTGCTCGTACCAGGGTGGGCATCAGTCAACAGAATTGGGTCAGGTTCCTGCCCCATTATCTCACTTGCCACATCTCTGACGATTTTTAATTAAGCCTAGGAGGGTGATGGGTTTCCCCGACCCAAAGCTGGCTGACATTTGTTCAGGTGGACAGAGCAACCAGGCAAAAATAAAGGAAATGAAAAAAATAAAGGAAGAAAACCCTTCAAGCCCCAACGGCATCTCCTCTGTCTCCTTCTTTGTTCACTTTCTGGGTCCCTCGATTGCAACTCCAGCAATCAAGCAGTTTTTTTTCGCTTCTCTGTTAATTGCTGTCCCACCGGCTTAATCACACATCAGCCACAGCCAATTAATGTGGAGCCAGGGTTTTTCTCTCTGAGCCCCTCTGAGCTCTGAAGACCCAATGTGTCTGTTGCCCTGTTCCCAGGGACTTCAGTCCTGGGCAGCAGGTGGGTGATTCCCCTCCGTCACCCCTGCTCTCTCTCCTCTATGTCTCCTCTCCCTCTCGCCATTGCCCGCCACCAGAAAAAGCTCCTGGCTGCATAATTGCACCAATTCAGTGCTCCCGGCAAGTTGACAAAACTCCGTGGGAGCAGATTGGCAGATCACTCCAGAGCACAGCCTGGCTGCAATGACTGAACAGATCTTCTCAGTCAGGGCTCTTTATACTTACTATCTGATAAAGACCTTGAATTAAAGAATGAAGTGGAACAGTGCCTTCATCTACACATGCACTTTACTGCAAGTTGACTAACTAGCTCCACAGTAAAGCATCATTATCTATACATGCACTGCTATTAGAGCACAGTAAATTAATTAACTCCATTGTAGGATAGTACAGTTGGGGACAGTACTATCCTACAGCGGGATCATTTACTCCACTGAAACACACATATGGATGGTGATGGGCTGGCTGGGGCATGAGGGTGCTAAAGTACAAGGGCTTCCTGTCACCTAGCCCCACACTTTTGCACCCGTGGTCCCCAGCCAGTCCCAACACTGGTGCCCAGATCCAGGGCTGACCCTCCAGGACCCAGCCAGCCAGGGGTGCCCTGCCCTGGCTCAAACTGCTGTGGTCCCAGACACACATGCAGATGCTGTGCTTGGGAGCAGCTGACTCTGGCATGAACTGTGCCAGAGTTTATCACATCACTTTAATAGCACATGTAGAAGCACTCAGTGTAAACAAATCCATATATCCTGGGATGCATTAGCCGATGCATCACGAGCAGGACTAAGAAAGTAATACTTCCTCTCTACTCAGCATTAGTGAGACCCCAGCTGGAGTACTGTGTCATATTCTGGGTGCTGCACTTCAAAAAAGATGTGGAGAATCTTGAAAGAGTCCAGAAAAGGGCCACAAGAATGATTACGGTCCTGAAGGACAAACCATATGAGGAAAGACTAAGGGATCTGGGACTGTTCAGCCTGGGTAGAGAAGACTGACGGGGGCTTGGTGGCCATCTATAAGTATGTAAGTGGTGAATATCAGGAGTTGGAAGAAAACTGTTCACTAGGGTGCCCTAAGGGAGAACAAGGAACAAAGGCCATAAATTGTTAGACGATGGTTTCAGGTTGAATGTAAGGAAGAACTTCTTTATGGTAAGGGTGACCAGAATCTGAAACAGACTTCACAAGAAGGTGGTGCAGTCCCTAACCTTGGAAGTCTTCAAGAGGAGACTGGATAGACATCTTACTGGGATTACTTGATCTCAGCAGCAGTCCTGCCCAGAGCAAGGGAGTTGGACTCAATGATCTACAAGTGGAGATTGGCACCCATGGAGGACAAATGAAGACCCTCTGGGTTAGAATATGAGGGGAACATGGAAGGGGATAGAATGCTAGGAGTCTACTACAGACCTCCAAATCAGGAACAAGAACTGCACGATGAATTTGCTAGGGAACTGACTGAGGCTTCATGCTCTCAGTGCATGGTTGTCATGGGAGACTTCAACTACTTCCTCACATGCACAGATTAGCCCTACCTGTCTCAAGAAGTTTATGGGCCAACAAGAGGTAAGGCACTTCTGAACCTGGTACTGGCCAAAGGGGATGATCTAGTCAGCAACCTAAGAATTGAAAGAAAGCTGGGTGACAGTGCTTATCTTGCTGGGATTCTTTGACCCTATCTGACTTCCTGCCCCTTGGGCAGGGAGCTGGACCCGATGATCTTATGAGGTCCCTTCCAGCCCTACTGTCTATGAATCGGTTAATCTTTTGAAGTCCCTTTCAGCTTTAATTAATATGGTTCTATGATATGGTGGAAAAGTTCATGTTCAACATTTAGGGTAGGGTTTTATAAAGTGCTCTGTATTAGCCTAACTTTGTTTCCATTGATGTCAATGGGTAAACTGTAAATCTCCTGCGACTTCAGTGAGAGGAAAGCTGAGACATTGCAGTTTGGTTTTGAAAATGTCATTCATGTATTTTAAATGGTCATTGCTATTTTTCCTCTTAATTTTTTGCCACTTTTTCTTTATATGATGTTATTTTATTTAAATTAAAAGTCTTGCTGGCAAAGGCTGCCAAAAGTAGATACTAGAAATATTTTGATAGCAACCACAATGTCAGGTTTGGAAGGAAGAACTATGTTGTGATAAAAAACACTGTACAAAAATTTGGAGATTATGTTTACCTAGCAGACAGCAGCACTATGCAGAGATTGGATCATAGAAACAAAAGTAGTATAGTCTTGTTAGCGTAGCAATGCCCAAGGCAGGGAGCACAGCTTAATAAGCTATACAGTGGGAGCATCTACATGAGACGTTTACTGCAGAGCTGCCTAATTAGGGTCCTAATTAGAGCCAGGGTCCTATGACTTTAGGAAAAAGGAGTTGCCAGCATGGAAGCTGTCCTTTTATCAAGAGATGAGACACTCCTGTGGAGAGTGAGACAAGGCAGACAACTGGCCAACCAAAATGGCCCTCAGACATTTAAGCCCCTGCCAGAAGCCAGACAGAGGGAGGGAAGAAAGGCAGAAGTCCAGCTAGTGGAGCAAGAGGCTCTTGAGACATACAGTGATACAGGGGGTTCTGGTGTTCCTCAGAGACCTCAGCAGCTTGGATGCTATGAACCTGTGAGAAGTAATAGCATCCCAGCCCCTCCTGTGATATTTGCATACTCCAGGTGAGAGGACAGCTGTTAAAGTGGTAGTATTTCTTTTTCTGTTTTGTTTCCTTTACTGCATTGTACTCTGGGAAGGGAAAGTTTAACAGCCTATGTGTTTGTTGGAGTTAGGCTGGTGAGCTGGGATGGCTGTAGGAAAGTGTGCAGAGGCCGTAGTAGGATGCCAGTGGTGCTCAATAATGATTAGGGTCCTGCCAGAACAGCACGTAAGCTGGAGATGACTGGAGGCCAAGAGAACCAGGGGCCATAGCCCACAGGCAAAAGTAGGGTTGAAGACCCCGAATCAGAGAGGACTGGAGCTCAGAAGCCAGGCCTAGTTATAATGGGCCTAAGGTTGAGAGAACCTAGCCAGAAAAGGGGGGTGGAAGCCAGGGAAGGCTGACTCCCTTTCCATAAAGTGACAACAATGTCAGTACAAAGAAAGGCAGTACCCAGATGGAATCTCCTGATAGGAACTTTCTGTAAAATCACCCAGCCATAAAGCTGCTGAACTGGAGCAGGGCCCCAACCACAGCTGGAGCTGCAGAAGGAAGATAAGCAGGGGGCAGTGAAAGTGGGGAGCAAAGGTGTAACAGAGTAGAGGCTGCAACTCCAGCCCTGGGCTCAGAATCAGAGCCTGTTTGAACTCTCCTTGCTTCTACTGTTATCTAAGATGAGGGGGCTTTTTCCCCGTGTTGAATTGGGGAGGGGGAAACCTTATCTTGGATTTGAATAAATACAGTACATAAACTTAATATGAAAGTAGGTGTAGTTACCTAAATGCTTATAATACAGGCCTGTTCCTGTAAGGATATGGACAGAAAGAGAAGACAAAAAAATGCCATCATAGGAATCCTGCAGATCACCTTTAAAATAGAACTGACCAAAGTTCTGAACTTACACAAAAATGATCCAGGTGGCATGAAACAGATCAAGAAACATGTAAGAGCAACATCTGTTTCTATATAGTTTCAGAACTGGGAGGTCTGATGAATTCCTGAATGACAGGAGTTAGCCAAGAATCTGAAAGTGATTCACATACGTGATATCTGTAGCTACAGAAAGTACAGCAAGAAGCCTAAATCAAAGTAGAAAAAATCCTTATCCCCAAGATAATAAATGACTAAGATACAGTTGCATGAGGAACAGATGACCCATAAAGATTGTCAGAATAGTCAAGAACTATTAGAATCAGGAAAATAGTTTTGATATGTAATAGGCTCTAAAAGTGTAATACACTTGAGTCTTTCCATAAAGTGACAGCAATATATCCATGTCAGTGCAAAGAAAGACAGCATCCAGATGGAATCTCCTGATAGGAGCTTTCTGTAAAATTACCGAGACATAAAGCTGCTGAGGTGGCTTACTAATTTAGAAAAGAAAAGAACAGGCACCTGAAAAGTCACTGGAAACACCTAAGTATCTGATAGTCAGACCTCAGTCATACATT